CGACGGTCGAAGCTTTTTGAAGCTTTTGAGAGAATGAAGGTCCTGATGTCTGATTGTGGACAGGTCTTTGTCTGGTAAAGCTTTTGAGAGTGAATGTCATGATACCTGATTGTGGACAGGTCTTTGTCGGGTACAACCTTTTGAAGCTTTTGAGAGTCAAGGCCCTGATGCCCGATTGCGGACAGGTCTTTGTAAGGTTACCACGGTGCAATGCATTTATGTAATGCAAGTATGTATGTGATGATGTAAATAAATGCATTTGCATTAAAATATTAAAAGGGGTAAACATATCGTGCACACCGCAAAAATGATAATTATGCTTGAGCAAAGGTTAAGCTCCTGCCCAAGGTTGATAGTTGATGGAGTCTAATGGTTGATGAAGAGCACTTATGACTCTTGTACTGAAGAGCAATGATTGACATATTCTCATAATTTCTCAACTGCTTGGCACTTGATGAAACCCCAATGTGAAAGCCAATATTGGTGAAATATGAATGTCATTGTATCAATAACTAAGAAGACCAATTGTCCAATGAAGAGCATCGATTGATGAAAACCCAAAAGCCATTTGAGAGATATATAGCAAAGGCAAAATGTTTCATGAAGACCGCTAACGGATGAAAAACCATAGAGTGATGAAGACCATTGACAGATAAAATCCACTAACTGGTGAAGGCTACTGACTAATGAAGGCCAATGACTGATGAAAACCACTGGCTGATAGAGGATCCCTGAGATATTTAATGGAGGTTGAATATTTCATGAGAACCACAGAACGATGGAGTACTAAGTGATGCAAACTCAAGAGTTGTTGGACTAATATCTGACAAAGGTTGAGTACTTAATGAGAACCGCTGACTGAAGGAAAGTACTGACGGATGTAAACTCAAGAGTTGTTGGACAGATACTGACAAAGGTTGAGTACTCAAACTCAAAAGTTGTTGGACAAATATCTAACAAAGGTTGATTACTTAGTGAGAACCGCTGACTAATGGAAACTGATTTGACTTGAGAAGGTGAAAACGTGCATATAATAAGGCAAATATATTCTGTGGGATGGTTAGCTTAGGAGGGAAAGAGATACTTACATTGAAGATGAGCTGCATGTTAGTAATAGAATAGAGATTCAACACAAATAAAAAAAATGATAATAATAAAATATGTTTTTGGTTAGCCTGTTAGGGCCAGACTTGTATAGTTGGTCAAGCCATGCTTTGGAGTAGTAAAGGATGCAACAGCTTTTCTAGTCACCTTGGTGACTTGCTGTGCACGAAGGTTGGTTTTTGAAAATTGCCTCGGCGAAGGTTAACTCAAGAATAATGTGACAAGATAAATTATAAGAGCAAAATCATTAGGCATTATATATAAGCTGATGAGAGTTTATAATCTTGTGAGAAATACTCACTTGTATTAGTTTGGTTTCTGCAAGCGGACACTTTGGCGTGATAGGTCGTGAATTCTCAGCTGAAAAAAGAAAGAAAGAAAGAAATGAACGCCCACGCCGCCCCCTCCACAGCGCTAAACCAGAGGTCCAGAGGCCTTACAGATGATTGCCCATCAGCAGTAACAGGAGTAGGAATGAAAACGGTCGGAAAACCTCTCAACCGTTTTCTATCTTTACATTTGAATACGGAAATGAAAGCGAAAGCGGTAAAGCCGACATAAAAATGAACACGAACTTACGGAATATCGAGAATTTCGAAAACGAACTAATTCGAGCGAAATTATGCCGAACACGGTCGGTATACGAAAAATCAATACAGAATATTGACCCGTAGGACCAAGTACATAACAATTAACAAGTGAATAATAATTAACAAGTCATACAACATTCTTAAAAAGTATCTCCATTCAACACTATATAAGGAAGATATGATTTTTCTAAGGCAACAAGCGCTTGTACGTGATTTAATATACCGCTGAAACTTTGTTTAATTTTTTTGAACATCTTAAAGATCTCAAATGAAAAAACTTAAACTAGAAAGTTGTAGATCTCGTCGAAAGCTATAATTTTCATATAAAAATCATCTTCATCCGAGATCGTATGAAAAAGATACAATTTTTTTAAGGTTGGACTTCTAACGGGCCAAATTTGGTTTGAACCGAATTTCGAATTCAGGATATTTCGAATTAAAAGTAGAAAACGGTCGGAAAAATATCTAAACCGTTTTCGTTCCGATTTCGGATTTGGTGTTCCGAATTTCGAACCGAATTCGAATTTGTCCAAAAATACGAATTTGATCAAATTAAATTTAGAAAACGATGCAGTTCGATACGAGATATTTCCGTACCATTTTCATCCCTAAACAGGAGTAGAGAGGCTGTATCTACAGCTACAAGAAATCGTCAGGGCTGAATGAACACATCACATCAAGTATTAGAAAACAAGTCATAAGAAACGCCAATCATATAGTATGCCACGAAGGCTCCTCCAAAGCTGTCGAGTTTTATTGACCCTACCATTGGCGGATTTGGGCCCCGGGCTGCCCGGGCTGCAGCCTGGGGCGAGGCCCATGAGCAATGGAAAATTGCTTTATAAAAATGGCACAAAAAGGCCTTCCAGCCCATTAGCCCACCCCGCAGGTGCCGTCGCAAGCCAGCCAGCCGCTCCTGTCTCGCGTTTGGCCTTCCAGCTCCTTGGCCGCCGCCGTCCGCGCTGGCAGGACTCCAGCCTCGAGCCTCGGCCTCCCCTCCTGTTCCGCTGCCCTCCACGGACCACGGCTCCACGGCGGCCGCCACCCGCCACTCACTTGCCAGCCAGACTACTCCCGGCTCCCAAGGACGGGCCGACAGGCGCTTAGCGCGACTGCTGCCGACCTGCGTCGCGTCCGGTGCATTCACCATTCCTGTCAATGACCTGCAGGCCACGCGACGCCGACCAAGGGCTTTCTCCCGTGTTCGCCTCCTGCGCGCATACAGCGGCCTTGATTTGCAACCACGAAGTCTTGAAGTCGACTGCCCGCTGGAATCGAGCCTCGCTGTTCTTTGGGCTGGCACGCTTGCTGCCCAAAGGTGCCCACCCCACGCTGCCACCCCTTGTCGGCCTAAATGTCTCTGCTGTCTGATGATCTGGATCCATGAAAATATGAAATAGGTTGATTTCTACTCTTTAGTTTCATTTCTTTTTGAAAATTGCTCCATGATTGCTACCTTTTACATTGCAAAGTCATGAATATTTCATTTCATTGAGCAGGACTTGTCATTGAACATTTGAGTCTTACTTCTGTGATTATGACTGCATAAAGCTTGCGGGTGACCTTCGTATATTCATTGATGAAGTCAGAAATGATGATAATTTTGACAATTGTACTGATCTTGGTAACCTTGTTGAGAAGATGGTTCAGACTGAAAGAGATACAACTTTTCCTTTGGTGTATCGTCTCATTGAACTTGCATTGATTTTGCCGGTGGCAACAGCTACAGTTGAAAGAGCCTTCTCTGCTATGAATATTATCAAGACCGAGCGAAGAAATAAAATGAATGATGATTGGCTGAATAGTAGCATGATTTGCTTTATTGAGCGGGATTTATTTGCATCGATTGAAGATGAAAAAATTCTAAAGCGCTTTCAAGGCTTAAGAAACCGTAAGATGAATTTGCCAAATGAGGGCTCAAGGTGCGTGTTGTTTACTTGTATTAATCTATTTCAATACATAATGTTATCTTGTTTTATAAATGGTTGAGATGTTGAAATTGTTTACGTAGAATTGAGGATGTCGGTGCAAGTGGATGTCGGTGCAAGTGGAAGTGGTGTTAATTCATGAAGACATGTATGGTTTTTTTTTTTTGTCATGGAAGACTCGTAATTTGGTACTTTTCTACCTTCAATGTTCTACGTATTGTTTAAGTCTATTGGTTGAACACTTGGGTGGGGTAAAATTTTAAGTCTTATATTAGTTAGCCCGGGGCGGAGCCCGTTTCTGGATCCGCCACTGACCCTACCGTACTATGTACAGTTTATTTCATGAGCAAAACATGCAGCATCAATAGGACAAAAATATCAAGAGTACAGACACCCTTTGGCTCGTACAGATGCAACAAAGTACATGATACACACCCAAATCTCCTGTCTATACCCGCCTTATCAGCATCTCAGCTCTCAACAGGTGACTATCTGAATGGCTATCTGTTTCTCCGGTACCCTTGAATGATATTACAGCTCCTGGCTACATGATTCAGTCAGCGTTCAGTGTTCAAAAATTCCCATTCCCTAACCAGTGGCAGAACCCAGAACTGTTCAAAAGTTTCCCTACTCAGTCGGACAAATGTCTCATGCAGCGAAATAACATGATGAAAACTGAAGTACAAATGGCGCAGAGCCATCAGGCGGCTTTCCAGCAAGCTTTCTTCAGGCAACAACCCAGGCATCAGTTATGACTGCTTCCCAGCATGGGAACCACGGGGATTCCCATGAGAATTCCACTGAAGAAGCATCCATATGATTGACGTTCCTATGTAAATAAATCGGAGAACTGATCAGAGTGGCTAAACAAACAACCAAGAAACAAGGAGCATTATTACAAAGTACTCCATCACAATTTCAGATAATTGTCCCCAATTCTAGCCATTTCTCAAGCTGCACATGCAAGAAGCATGACAAGCTCCAATGCTATTTTGCAACATTGAAAGGTGGAAGCCTGGAACTGATAAATACTGCATTGCATCGCTAAAACTGCAAAAGTAAAGTACTGATAAAATCCTGAGAAAGTTTAAATGACAAGCCTGCATAGGAAAACAGTATAGCTCCTAAAGCTAAAGCAAATGAATATTTCGATTAAAGTACCAGAAAATCAACCTAACTGTAACAAGTGCGCTAGTAAAAAGGCTGATTAGGTTCTGAAGAACTGATTTGTAAAAGTTGAATGAAAAGAATTGTCCACTCACAACAGTCACAAGGAAAGCTTAGTACCTGCAAAGAAGCCAACTGTGCTCAGATTTGCTGCAGCCATGGTGTGGTATATCAAGTATTCCGTGAGGAAATGACCAAGAGCATAGATGAATCATAGGAAGGTGGCCAGATACAGAGGCCTATTTTCCAGGTTCAGTGCGCAAAGGAAGCACAGCGTGCAGGTCAGAAGAGTCCAGACACCAAAAGTACGGCCATGAACATCAGTCACTGCATGTAAACAATGTTTTGTTAATCACACTAGAAATAAAAGGCCAAGTTTTTTTCACAAATAACGGCACATAACTAGGAATTAATAATTTAGCACGAGGGTTTTTCTTAGAGATGTTGCAAGAGCAAAACCCATTATGAACTGAAGCTTATAGCTGCCTATAGGAAAGACAGTGCAGCTAAGGTATCAGGACTTCCTGACGCAATCAATCTAGGAGGAACAACTGCTGGCAAAGATAAGCAAAGTTTGTTGATACTGTTCCGGCACAATGTAATATCCAGATACAAATTTGCTTCTTTGCCTATGTAAGCAAAATGAGCAGTTCATTATTTGTATATATGGTTATGTAACAATAATACCACACAACGCTCTCAAAATTTAGGGGCAACTAAGAACTACCATGGTCTACTTATTAACTGATAACCACAATGCCTCTATAGTAGACTTCTTTTTCACTTCTATGGTGTCAGCATAAGGATTGCAGAGCTCAGCATTAATTAAAATAATAAAAGCCCACAGTAGTCATGAACGAGCAAACACTCGTGCAATAAGGATAGGGTAACATTATTTGTTTCTCTTATTAAGAAACGACTGGCCTCGGACTCTGAGGACCTCAAGACTCAGGAAAAAAAAGCATCTGAGCCTCATGAAATCAGAAATTCAGAAATGCTGTGTGTGTTCGACCTGTCCTTCAACCCAAAATGAGCAGCATCACTAAGTCCAGTCATTAGAATACTGTCAAATATCCCAACTGAAGACTTGAAATCTTTCCTTACTCTGACTTGCATCGGGATGAGTTTCACTGACCGCAAAAGAAAATCTTCTTTGACATTGACTAATTCTTGGAGTAAAAACTAAGAACAGAAGGACCGCATGTAACGAAGTTGTTATAGGTAGAACCAAGCTTGTCACACTGTATCATTCCAGTAACAATATATCCATGAGCACTGTATGCATAAAAACACCAGCCTAGCTACTCTGCAAGCCAAACTTCAGCTTGAAATCTGTGGTTGTGCCGCTGCACAATACACTCCTAGATGCCATTCTCTGTCCTGGTCAGTGGCACTGTTTTTCTGAAGGTTCCACCAGTGGAATCCACTTGGAATACTTCCAGTTCAAACTCACGAATCCCGCGGGAAGGAGGCACAGATGCCTCCTTGTTGGATCTCCGAACCTTCGTCAAGAAGGCGCGGCACAGATCAGGCTAGAACCGCGACCGGGTGAGATGGGATCCGTACCCCACACGGATTGACCCTGTCCAGTCCAGGAGAACGAGAGGAGAGGAAAGGGAGAGGGAGGACGCGAGGGGGGGCACTCACTCTCCGTCTGCGAGAAGACGGCGACGCGGAGCGCCCAGATGTCGAAGAAGCCGAACCAGACGGAAGCGAGGCGGAGGGAGCCGACCAGCATCAGCCACCACCCGAGCGCCGGGACGCCCTTCCTCTTCCCCTCCGCCGCCATTCACCCCCGTTGGAATGCTTCCACTTCCACTTCCACCGGTGAGCAGCGTGATGTGGATGCAGCCGGCGGAGAGGACGAGGAGCGCCTGATAGCAAAGTGGGTCCGAATCCAAGTGGGCCTGGCTCGTTTGAATGTGTCGGATGACTGGGCTTCTGGGCCATGCTGGATTACATTTACGGGCCGACAGAGCCGCCACAAAGTCAGTCCTCTAAACAGCAGTCGTATTTCTCAAAAAAAAATCGTATTTTTCTGACACGAACACTCTGTATCTTCTTAAAAACACTGAACGAGACATTGAAATCGTATAAAAAATACAGATAATACATTGTATTGTACTGACAATGTACATGTTGGCGTTGTTAGCTGGTCTCACAAAACCAGACCAGCCGGCTGGTTCTCTCACAAAATACTGTTCATCAACCCGTTGCTATAGTGTTTTTCTCTCATAGAACCAGTCAATTTTAGTCAAATTTCAGATCAGCGAACGGGGCAAAAGCGAATAGCTTAGGGCAGCTCCAGTGTAGACTCGGTTTTCGAAAAGCTGTGGGCCCGGTAAAAATTGATGTTTCTCGTGGTTCGTTTGCTGTTGTGTGGAGTTCGATTGGATAGGTGTCAGGTTGAAATAAACAATTGCTTGCACTGTTTGGATGTGGGCAAGAAAAATACTAGACTCGCTAGGCTAGGCACAGCGTTTGGTAATAAAAAAAACATAGCTTCTGGGGGCGACCTTACCCCGCTCTTCCAAAAAAGCATCGCTCCTAAGGGAGAGCTGATTCGGCTCGCCTTCAACGGCAAATCGTGCTCGTGCCAAAGAAAATGCGTGCGAGACGATCTCATCCGCAGCGAACTCCGCTTTTCCCCTGTCCACACCGCCATGTTCCTCATTATCCCATGCGATTTTTGCTCCAACACCTCCATAAATCTAGCCAGATCTTAGTTTGCAGGCACCATAACCTCCACCCTGTAGCTCCATTCTCGTCCTCTCAAACTTGACCGCTGCGAGACCACAAGATTGATTTCCTGGGCTGTCTTCAGCAGGACAGAGAGCAGAGCAGGGGACGACAGAGAGCAAGGACGGAGGAGCAGGTTCCTCCTCTTCAGCTTGCAAGGTCTGTAGTCAATCCCTAATGTCTATTTTTTCATCTAGAGATTAATTGTGATTGGAATACGCCTGAGGACTCTTTAGATTGGGGATTAATTCCATAAAGTAGATGGTGTGGCTTAACGATTGGGCTCTGATATGGTGTGTGCGCCGCACACTGCAGTCTGCAGATCTATTTAAAGTATAATCATGTGATTTCTAGTCAATCCCCTCCACACATAGATATTTGCTACTGTATCAACAATTCCTTGAATGAACCAGTACTCTATTCTAATTAGTAGAGGTGTTGTGAAGTGATTTTGGTGAAAATCTTACTCTGAGTTTCAGAGGCCTTTCTCAGCTATTGTTCTGGTTTTCTGATTTTTGTTTTTTTATAAGTATTTACCTAGGCTAAAGTTTCTGAGATCTTAAAGGTGTTTCTCTTTCTCTTGTAAAGCAAATGGTGAAAATCTTGTCCTTAGTGTGGTTTCATATGAACTTTGTGATACCCTACTTATGTCCTGTCCTCTGTATCAAAGAATTCATTTGATTTTTACTCTGTACTTGTAGGTAGTTTAACGGTTTGTCCTTTGTTGTTTGATTACTATAGATGGATGAGAGTGCTATTGTTAATAGAATGATTGCATTCATCGGCGCTTCTATTTTAGCATGGTTGATATTGGTGATATTTCAACACAATACCGGTGATCCTATACGATACTCATTGTTTGAGAGGAAGCTCATCTAGTAAGCGTCCTGCTGCTAGCAAGCCTAAAAAAGTGAAGAGGACTAAGCATGATGATAGTGCGATCTCAGAGGTGACTCATGTTCTGCGTGATATGTCTGACACCATGCGCTTCACTCACGTCACTCATCCAAATCTACTCTTATCAAAGCAGGTTACTTTGACCGCCAGGAACAGCATCCACGTCGGCCCGAATGACCCCATCCGTCCGATCCTCCATCCTGTGGCCCTTATTGCTTGAAGCGGATTCTCTTCGGAAACAGCTTCTACCGCTTCTCGTGACTTTCTCCGACTTCCTCTTTTCTTTCCTTTAGCTTCTCCGGCTTCTCGTCTAAATCCACAAGACCAAATATATACCCAGCTTTGGCTTCTACTTCTACACAATTCCCCTTCTCAATTCTTCTCCTTCCCGACCTCGACGCTTCTGCTCCCGCAGACGTCGCCTCCGCCGCGTCCGCGCCCACCTTCCCTTCCTCTCTCCCTCTCCCTCTCCCTCTCCCTCTCGCCCGACGGGGCGGTATGCCGGCTGGGCCCAGCGTCGCCGGATGGTAGTGCGCCGCGCTGAAAGCTTTAGTTTGGTTTTGGTGAATTGATGAAACCCTAAGTGCTAACCTAGTTTATCAAGTGATCATAATATAGGTAGCACATTCCAAGTGGTGAAGCAAATGAAGATCATGACATGATGATGGTGATGCCATGGTGATGATCAAGTGCTTGAACTTGAAAAGAAGAAAGAGAAAAACAAAAGGCTCAAAACAAAGGTATAAATGGTAGGAGCCATTTTATTTTGGTGATCGAGACACTTAGTGAGTGTGATCACATTTAGGATCGATAGCCGTACTATTAAGAGGGGTGAAACTCGTATCGAAATGCGGTTATCAAAGTGCCACTAGATGCTCTAACTCATTGCATATGCATTTAGGATCTAGTGGAGTGCTAACACCCTTGAAAACATTTTATGAAAATATGCTAACACACATGTGCACAAGGTGATACACTTGGTGGTTGGCACATTTGAGCAAGGGTAAGAAACTTCACCGGCGGAGTGTCCGCCCATAGAGTGCGGACAGTCTGACAGTGCCACCGGCACCCTATACAGAAAAGACAAGGTTTCACAGGGTGTAACGGACGTGTTCGGTGGATAAACCCAGGTGAACGTGGTCACTGTAAGTGACCAGACGCTGGTCTCGGAAGTACCGGCGCGTCCGGTCAGTGGCAGCAGTGAGCGCGCGGTTTCGGTCTTATGACCGGACGCTGGCGCGAAAAATGACCGGACGCTCAGGGCCTGAGTCCGGTCAGTATGACGTATGATGACGTTGAGTGATCGGACGCTGGGTGAGTCTGGTCAGGCATGACCGGACGCGTCCGGTCGTGATTTCTCGCTTCAGGATGCTTACTGAAAACGACCAGACGCTGAGGTCCAGCGTCCGGTAACTTCGAAGCAGCGCGTCTGGTCACAACTTAAATGTACTGATGACCGTTGAGATCGGACGATCAGCGTTTGAAGCAGGGGACACGTGGCACACATCGGGCGACCGGACGCTGGGGTCCTGTGTCCGGTCGATCTGACCGGAGCGTCCGGTCACCCCGTGTTGTGCCCAGTGAAGGGGTACAATGACTCTATTTCATGGGGGCTTCTATTTAAGCCCCATGGCCGGCTCTAGCTCAAACCCTTGGCCATTTACATTGACATAGCAACCTTGTGAGCTTAGCCAAAGCCCTCCCACTCATCTTCATCATTGATTCATCATCTTTGTGAGATTGGGAGTGAAGCCAAGTGCATTACTTGAGCGTTTGCATCTAGAGGCACTTGGTGTTTGTGTTTCACTGCGGGATTCACTTGTTACTCTTGGTGGTTGCCGCCACCTAGACGGCTTGGAGCAGGGAGGATCGTCGAGTGGAGATTGGTGATTGTCTCCGGCTTCGATCGTGGTGATTGTGAGGGGTTCTTGACCTTTCCCTGGCGGAGAGCCAAAAGGTACTCTAGTGAATTGCTCATGGCTTGTGTGATCCTCATCTTATGTTGGTTGTGCGGCACCCTATTGAGGGTTTGGCATGTGATGGCAATTAGCGCGTGAACCTCCAAGTGAGTGAATCACCACAACGAGGACTAGCTTGCCGGCAAGCAAGTGAACCTCGGTAAAAAATCATTGTCATCATTTGATTCTGAGGTGATTGGTCTTCATTGATATTGATTCTTATGATTGATTGGTTCACTCCTCAACTCGGCGGTATAACCATCTTGCTCACTCTCCTTACATTACCGCAAACTAGTTGTCATGCTCTTTAGTGTAGCTAGTTGTGAGAGCTTGTTAGTTTGGTTAGTGTGGCTCTTTAGTTAGCCTTTGAGAGCACGCTAACTTATTGTAGTGACATAGCTATTGTGTGGATAGAAACTATATAAACCAGAATTGTGGTAGGTGGCTTGCAATTTTAGTAGGCTAGCGCAACACTTGCTTCGCCTCATAATTGTCTAACCGGTTTGCTAAGTGTTGTTGTAAAAATTTTTATTAGGCTATTCACCCCCACCCTCTAGCCATTAGGACCTTTCACGCGCGCCGCGCTGGCGGGGCAACGACGTCCCCGGTCTACTGCGCAGCGCCGCATGTGGGCCCCGATGGTGGGCGGCCCGACGATGGTGGACGTCCTCGGCCACGGAGCGGCACGACCGGGCCCTGCCGGTACCCGCCGGCGCTGCTTCCCTCGCGCTGCCCCTTCCCACCGCTCCACGTGTGCTCGACCAAACCCTAGCTGCCTATGCTCGGCGGCCATGCCCCTGGCCGAGGGTGGGTGCGAGCACGTCGCTGCGAGCAGGCCCTCTGGCCGCCGCCGCTGATGCACACTGTGGGCGCGGGCCGCGGGAGAGGTGGCCACGGAACGACTACTGCCCGACCGCTATACAGGTAAAAGTGTGCTCTCTCTCTCTCTCTCTTCCCTCCCCTTCCCTTGCCAGCTCCGGTGATGGATGGCCGGATCCATCGGCTGCATGGTTGGATTTATCCACTCCCCATTCAATCTATGCAGTGAATCGGGTGCCAAAAATCTCATTTATCTCCTTTCCTACCTTATGTCTATGATCCCTTGATTTCATTTCCTATATATATGGATTTCTTTTGCTTACGCATAAGGTTTGTGCCGTTGTGTTGATGCTGTAATCTTTTCATCAGTATATAT